TATTGTTATTTCATATTTATTTTTAAAAAAATATGAAATATTTCTGACTGATATATGTCATGGGTAAAATTAAATAGTTTTCAATATCCCCTTTCACTAATTCGGTGATTTGCATGATGATCGATTCCATTTGTACAGTAGACTGATCAACTTATCGTCAGTATAAACGTCCAGCGCCTCTGACCTTCCCCCGGCACAGTGCCCTCCGTCTTTGAAATACTACCATGAACGCTGCCATGTTTGATTTTGGAGTGGTTTTGACTTAGGACAATATTAAGATACCTTTAAAACAATCCTAGCCTTCGGACTGTTTTAGTCATAAATGTAGGAGTCATAATTTAGAACCTTTTTAAGACTTTCTTTGAAACGCAAAATTGTCTCAATTTTTTTATCTTAGGACCGACTTAAGACTCAGAACTCTCCATGAAACGCAGCCCTGACTCAGAAATATTAAGATGTCGTTCCTAATGTCTTTGCAATTTTAACAAGCGATAATTTTATTAAAATGTAATGACCATTTTATAAGACATGTGTTCAATTAGTTAAAATGCAATATGATCACCGCTGCATGCTGAGAGCAACATAAAACCTAAATGAAAGTTTATTTATGATATTTGAAAAAAAGTGCAAACAATCAGCTGTTGAAAATGCAAGCGTGTTTAAGAACTTTTATTATTGCTAAATTATTGATTAAGATTTATATCATTTTAACGAAAAAGATATGTCCTTAATGAGGCGAGTTATTCAAAAAATCTCTATTTTGCCCTTTATATTTAGTGTTTTAACGATCAACTGAAGAATATATTTACATTTAAATGATGTTAGAAAACCCATCTCAATTTGAGACTTTATGCATATCTTTATTCATTTCAAATTCCACACAAATACGATGGAGATAACTTATATTTCTCGAAATCAAGTATGATGTTAGTAATTCAAGTAACTCAAACTTTATTGAATTGTCTTCTGATGCAATTGATTAATTTGCTTGATTAAGTAGATTGCACATTTAAGATTTCTATATATTTTACATACTAATACATGCTTAAGATAAGGTTAGCCACTGCTTCGTCGTTAAAACACCTTGCTTCAATAGCTTCTGGCACAAGTAGTTTGAGTAAACGTAGATGAGCTTTACACAGCAATTACATTATGTTTCTTTTTTTACCATTTTTCCTTCCATTATTTATCATGTTTTAATGATTTATATAACACCAATTCAGCTTGTAACAGAAGGTCTTAGATGTGATTTCATATAATTTATTTCCGATCATCATTCTCAATACGAAGAAAACGAAACAAATTCGAGACATAGTTAATAATAGCGCTCCCAACATGTTTCATTTCTTTAGTCAAATTACACTTTGCATCGCTTCCGTATTCAAACAACTAGCTTACGGAACGTCGGTGGTTCTACCCAGGTGCCCGTTCGTGCCTGAAATAATACACGGAAGGGCACCTGAGGTCTTCCTTCACCAGTAAAGCTGGAACGTCGCGATATGAGCTATACTGTGTCGATGTGACGTAAAACACAAAACAAAAAAAAATATTCAAACAATGTGAAATTAGACCATGTAGACGATCGACACATCGCTACGGGCTGACTGAAAGGTCATGTAGGGACTGTTGTTTTTTTTCTGCTGATGATTATTGGAGAATTTCATAAAGCTATTACGTTATTTTTCATTCTATATATTTACCATTTTCAATACATTTACGAATTTTAAGTGGACACCGAGCTTATAATGGTAACAGCGTCAATTGTTGATCTTGGTATATAAATCATTAGTTAAGAATAACACAATACAATAAATAATACGATCATGTTTGAAATAAATTGTACACCTTTTAACATTGAAACAGATGAACAGATGCTTTAAATGGGTATGACCCTCTTTTGTAACTATACTGAAACAAAATTGAATTTTAAATATAGTTAATATAAAGGTGAACAGATAGACAGTGCTGTCAATATGGTTTTGGGCAATGATATTTCATTCATTATTATTTGTTCAAATGTGTTCAATGATGATAACCAACCATATTAAAAAGGAAAAGCATTATGAATTGTGACTGTAGTTTATTTCTGTAGAATGGCTTTGGCAAACAAAAGCAGTAGTTATTGCTTTGAAAATAAGAATACATATTAAAGTACGTGTTAACGTCTGGGGAAATGGCTTGTTTTCTTTTTATATTTATGTCTTTATAACAAAAGTACACTGGCTTTATATGGTGCCATTCTGGGGCCGTTGCCTTCTCTTTTTTCACAATTCACATTTTGAAGCGAGTGTTAAGTCACTTCAAGTTACTTTATCAATTTGATAATAACATCAATCTTCTTAACATCTGTTTTTGACATTTATATGTTAGACTAATGGTATCAGTTTGGAGATGAAAGAAAGACTTTAACTCTCGTAGATAAAAGACATTTAAAATAGTATAATATAACAAATTGTCACTTAAAAATTCAGATCTAACAAATTGCTTTATAGATTGGTTATAAGGAAAACAGATTGGTTATGAGTAAAACGATTCGTAACATCTCAGGAAGAAGACATATATTTATTCACATTTCTCCCAAACATTTTAAAACATGAATATATCATTTACAGTTAAAGGAATGTTCTTACTTTTACACAATTTACAAGTTTCTTTTAACATTTTCTAGAAATGCAAACTTCAATTTAAGGAACGCACCTTACTGCCGATTTTTTGTAACATTTGGAAACCCGATGTTAAGATTCATCTTAATTTCCACATTGAGTGCCTTTGCATTTGTGTCTTTCCTTTGTTTCAGTTACTGCAAGGCCTATTATGCCATACTTATATACATTATATTAAACATTTTTGTGTGAATCATTTACTGATGTAAACCAGTGACAAATGTTGCGAGAGTTCCCATTCTTAAAATTATAATTTTTGCCATTGAGTTTATATTGTGGGGCGTCCGTGGCCGAGTGGTTAAGGTCGTTTACTTCAAACCACTTGCCCCTCACCGCTGTGGGTTCGAATCCCGACAGGGACTTTGGATTCTTTCATGTGAGGAAGCTATCCAGCTAGCTTACGGAACGTCGGTGGTTCTACTCAGGTGCCCGTTCGTGCCTGAAATAATGCACGGAAGGGCACCTGAGGTCTTCCTCCACCAGTAAAGCTGGAACGTCGCGATATGACCTATACTGTGTCGATGTGATGTAAAACCCAAAACAAAAAAAAAAGTTTATATTGTGAGGTTGATCGTATTATATATTATGGGAGATTGTGCGCTGCCCAATTAAAAAAATTCCATTACAGTCATATTTAGAGTTACTCTACATGATTTGTTGTTGTTGTTTGTCACAAATTAGTTTAGATTAGATAATAATCAAATATCTTACTTTTTCGACAACATTGCAACATTATCTAAAGGTGTAAAATCATCTTTCTGAATGTAATATACAGCAATTAAACTTCTTTCATAATTTGGTAATTACGTGCCGCATATCAAGTTAAAATAAACAAGGAACTACATAATTTCATGGTCTATGTCAATCTTATTAAAACAATGTGATTATTGTGCGTCTGTAAATAATAATCCTGATATACAAGCAAGGAACGTAACGTTACAATAAATATGTTCATATCATGTTCAATATCTGTAATTTTGTTAAAATATAGGATGTTCTGCTTACTGATTCCCATTTAACTCTTATGTATCCGACTTGTAAGTAATACAATTATCGATATCGTTTTTCAAAATCTTAATGTAAAATAACATTACCTTTTGTTTTGGGTAATAAAACGTCACATTATCGACATCGTAACAATATGTGCGTACTTTATCATAATTCAAACCATTTACAGTCACACCAGATACTACGCGTAAATTAGAGTTGTCATATTTCGCTCGATCAATACCTGAATAAGTTGATGAAGTTATCAGAGTATTGTGTAATATGATATAAAGGAATATACATTTATAACTTGATGAAGATTGATATAAGCAATCATTGTTAACAGAAATGTAAGGACAAAACAAGCATTTGTGATGCTATTTGTTTTAAATGATGTTGTGCGGAAATATGTTTCTATAACACAACATTTTTCTTTCTAAATATTTTCTGACGTTTGTAAAGCAATGCAACTATATGAACACTTATGCTTACTGAACGTCGGTCGTGTTCCACAAGTGCCAGGCTATTTGAGGTCTGTTTCTTAAATCAGTAAGGGCTTTGTATAAGCCAGAAGACTATCGGTGTGTTTAAGAAGTCAGTAAAAGATAAACACGGAAGCTTATCAGTGCCTCCACTTATCTAAAAGTTTCACATCATGTCAACTTGGTTCTTCGGGTTTTGACCAGAAACATTCCATGAAGACGTTATGATTAATACGTAATACATTTATAACACATTCCGTGAAGAGGTTATGATAAAATACGCAATAAGTACAAGTTTTTAATCATTGCAAAAAAACTTTGTTGAATTACGTGAGCTATTTGTCTATGCGAATAACGTCTTTGCGTCTAACTAAATATTTCAGCAAAGTCGTGAAATCAAGAAGTTTCGACAGTTTTTTTGTTCGAGACACAAAACTTTACGGAAGCGTATCAGGGCTACGGAAGCTTCAAAGGGTCACCTCTTACGCGATCTTTTATGAGAAGATTTACGCAAGTCGAAAGAATTAAGGTGCAAAGGCATGATATCTTTAGTGTTTTCGCAAAAAATAATTCGAATAAACGAGAAGATTTGAGTTAATTGGCCAAATGTTTTCTTGCAAAAACAGAAACATTACACATAACGATTAATATTTTGACGAAAAATTAATAAAAGGTGTTTTTCGAAAAAAATATAGAGGCAATACATGATGCATTTCACTTTATCGAAAAAGATTATGACGCAATACCTAATTCATTTCACCTTCTCGCATTAACTTTTGATGCATTACCATAATACATTTCATTTGATGAAAAAAAGTTTGCGCAATGCCTCAAGTGTATTCCGCTTTTCGTTATAAATTTTGTCGAGATCGTCTTCCGTTTTGCATACGATGGCTTATTATTTCGTTAAATAAGTTTTAATAAAATTGTGATATTCAAGACTACAGCAGGTATTTGTCGAAGTCATGGAGAAAGTTCTAACAGTATTGGTATGATGTTATGATTTTTATCATCGTCATTATTAGTAGTATTACAATTAGTCGTTATAGGAGTTGTAGAAGTGGCGGTGCTGGCGGCGGTGGTTGTAGCAGCCCAGCAAGTATCAGTCTAAAGAGGTACATGTCGTATTACACGCTTTGTTAGATTCTCACTCATTTGGCTTTCCATGATAGCTTATTTCATAGTCAGTGATTTACAGTTGCCATTCCCTACCTCATTTTGCATTTTAATCCACGGAAACAAATTCTTAAACAGGAGCTGTCACTGAAGTGACTTATGCCCCCGATAGGAAGCTCTGGCATAAAATCCTCAATATATGCCAAAATACTGGTTATATATACCCGACCTCCTTTGATAAATATCATTCCTATAATAGTCTAAACAATTTTCACTTAAAATCATCATTAAGGGCCAAGAACTGTGCGAAAAAAAATCATGTACAAAATCATGGCACAATGCACAACTATACTTGGCATGCAAACAATTTTATAAATGCTCACTGAAATTTTCAAACTGGCAAAGTTAATTTACTGAAATCAGGAACAATCCACAACTAGGCTTGGTGGCAAACAATTCTGTGAATAATTCCCCCCTCTGCTTTGGTGATGAAGCGCGGACAAGCTTATTTTACTCAAAAAATGAACATTAAGGGGCTATAACTGTCCCAAAATAGATTCAAGCGGAAAATCAAGATACTATGCACAACTAGGCATAGTGACAAACATTCCTGTGAAGTGTCACTGGAATCACTCCTCAGTTTTCCTGATGAAGCACAGACAAGCTTATTTTACTCGAAAAATGACCAGAAAGGGGCCATATCTGTGCAAAAAAAAGATTCAAGAGGAAAACCAATAAAGTATGCACAACTAGATTTGGTGACAAACAATCCTGTGAAGTTTCACTGAAATCGCCCCTTAAAGCGCGGATATGATTATCCGACAAACGTTTGGAAGGGCGGGGAGAGGGACAGTGCGATTACTATATGCCGACCTTCGATGCATAAAAATGCTAAAACGACAAAATAACTATATTACTCCAATTTATTTGTTCATCCAGACTTAACAGTATTCTTAAATTACCTTAAAATTTATGTGGGCCTCCTCCCTAAAAAATGGTTTAAAATGATTGTAAGCATGCAATAACAGGATAAACACTTACCAAACACAACATTTTTAGGAATCTTTATTAACCTTAGTATTTACTTCAGAAAAAAGGATGCATAATTATAAATATATATGATATCATTAAAAGTAAAATCAAAGCACTTAATATACTAGTTGTATTGCGACTGGCAACAGTAACCAATGAAGTACTTAACAAAGCATATCTCTGTTCATTATAAAGAATTTAATTGCCAGTACAATGTCATATTAAAGAAATTCCATATGGAGGTTTTGCCAAACGTGTTTATTGAGGTAAGTTTTGAAAATAATACAAAATTCAATAAAAAAAAGTTATGTAATATCATCACTAATATTTTTACCTTTCAAGGTCATACCGATATCAAAGTCAAATTTCATAATGTGTTAGCTCACCTGCCACGTAACAGAATGAGCATTTGTGGTCAATTTTTCCGCCGTCCATCTTCCGTAAACAAAGTTGGCGTTACCGCTCTAGCGTTTTCATTTTTGCTTTGATTTTGACTGAACTTTGTCAGAAAGTGAATCTCAATGTAAGGTAGATCATTTTATACAATGGATTATGTCGGGTGAAGGTCAAGGTCACAGTGACTTTGAAAACAAAATCAACAAATTATGATAATTTGTTTTACATAATACTATGCTTGGAACAGTTTACCAAAATATGATAAAAAGTAATTTGCAAATGTTATAATATGAATGAAATTTGGGTGCATTTATTTGAACCATACGAACAATTGGAAATACAATATTGGCTGCAAAGCTACCAACAGGCATGTAATTGCTAAAACGCTTCTTGAGTGCAAATGTTTTGTTGTATGCAATTTTCTTCTCTTGTGAACATGTTGCAATTCACTAGACAGTACAATAAAAATGCAGTATTGAAGAAATGAAAAGATACTTTTAAAACACGGTCACCATGAACCGGTTTCAAAAATATACTTCTACACAATGCCCAAGCTCATTATCTGCCATTATACAGAAGAAAGGTAACATTTTTATTGCACACTACTTATTCACCATACCTTGCCCCTTGCAACTTTTGTTCTTCCAAAATTAATAGAAATAAAAAAACACTAATAAAAACCGCTGGAAATAGTTCTATATGATAAAAGACAGACACTAATCTTGGATCTGCCTACTAGTATACCCAAATCAGCGTACCGTGACGCATTCCGGACTAAAATTATGCATTTCTAGTACTTCGAGTACTTCGAGGAAATGACATAATAAAATAACTGATTACTAAAATTTATTACATCCAGTTCCATAATTAGCAAATCTTTTCGAATACTTCCTGTTACTCCGACTTTGATAACGAACATTGTTTTGAGTAAATATCTTTATGGATGATACATGCATTCAAAAATATTTCGCATTCGATGTTCCAAACGGTTTAAAAAGTTGTGTTTAAGAAAGTTCATAGTGATGTGTGTTTTTATTTACATAGTTGTTTGAAAGAGTCGATTGTTGTTGTTGTTGTTGTTTAAAACCCCCTAAAATACCCCGATAATTGGAAAAGCGCCATTCAACGTTGCAGTAGTATTGGTCCTAGTATTGCTAGCAGCAGAAGCAGCAGTAGTAGTAGTAGGAACAGCAGTAGTAAAAGTAGTATAAGTAGCAGCAGTAGTAGTAGTAATTGCCTAAGAAGTAGAAGCAGTATAAGTAGCAGTAGCAGCAGTAGTAGTAGTAGCTGAAGAAGGTAATAATAAGTTGAAGTACATGTGATAGTAGTAGCCAAAGTAGTAAGAGTAGTTAAGTAGTAGAAGCAGTATTTATATTAATAGTCGTCTTAGTCTTATGCGTCGTCGTCGTTAGTCGTAATCTTTTATTTTACATATATTAATAGAAATAGATAATATTCTTTGCAAAAGTACTGAATGACTCCTCCACATGAGCCAAAATATTTCAAGAAATTGAATCTTTGGAAAAATTTATTAAGATCTTTAAAAAGTAAGAAGATTTAATAGTTAAGTAATTATTTACATGTTATGAGCGTTTAATGAGTTAGTAACGCAGTAAGAGATTTTTATGTATATTTTGACGTCTTTTTTATTATTAACGTGGATTGTACATGCTGTTTGCAATGTATAAATGACTTTCTTTGTTCATTTTACAAAACTTTACTTTTAGATACATTTTTAAAAATTTCATAAGAATAAGCAAGAACCTGGAGGCATGTTGCCAGTTAATGTTGTTGTATTCAGTGAAAAATTCTAATAATTTACTTTGCTATTTGATTTACTTTCAGATACTTCTTGTGGCAATTCATATCAAGTTGTCTTATGGTATGCTACGAGATGAGCTGAGCCTACACGATACTGTCCAAAAATACTTCAATCTTGGTTATACGCATTCGGAAATGGCTGGAATGTTTTTGTTTGTTCACCATATTGTAGTTTCCAAAACTAAAATAAAAAGAATTCTTCGACGTTTAAACTTACGTAGACGTGAAGAAAGCAACCCAGAGGATATTGCTCGTGGAATAGTACAGCTACATCGAGAGGGTTATTCTGAACTAGGTTACAGAGCAGCATGGAGAATGCTTTTTTGAGATATGGAATCAGAGCACATCAAAATACAGTGAGGATTTGTCTTAAGGCGTTAGACTCTTGTGGAGTAGTCAACAGGAAAGCAAGACGATTAAGACGTAGACAATATTTCAATCGAGGCCCAAACTTCGTAATTCATGTCGACGGATATGACAAACTAAAACCATTTGGAATATTAATTCATGGAGCTATAAATGGATTTTCCCGAAAAATTCTATGGTTGAGAGCTGCACATCAAATTAAAACCCTGCTTTAATTCCATTTTTATTTCATGCAACATGTAAAGAAACGTGGTCATGTACCAAGTATGGTAAGGGTTGATGCAGGGATTGAAAACTGTACATTAGAGAACCTTCAGATCGCACTTAGAATGTCACATACTGATAGCATGTCAGGGTACAATTCTGTTTCTGTTGGGAGATCAACTGCAAATCAAGGAATTGAAATGCTTTGGATTTCCTCTCGAGAAACTTTACTTGTTATTGGAGGAACTTCTTTAAAGATTTGATTGATCAAAACCTATTTGATAATACCGATCAGTTGCATATCGAATGCCTCAGACTTTGTTTTATGCCTCTCATTCAAAATCATCTTGACAGTTTTAAGAAATCCTGGAATATACATACGATTCGGGCACAAACTTATTGCGAGACTGTAACAGGTAAACCCAACATGATGTATTATCAGCCAAGGATGTTTGGTTATACAGATTGTTCGTTTGCAATAAATTGTTCTGAAGAAGAATTGGAGAATCTGGTGCGGGTGTATACCGAGGAACCACCTATCCATGGTAGTTGCAGTTGAGTGAAAATTGGATGGGGTTAAATGCACATTTCTTTCAACAACTGAACACTGCAGAACAAGCAAGCGATGTTTATCAAAATATATTATCATCGCTTCATAGTCGATTACTACAGAATTAGGTTTTTTAGTGAGTGGGACACATTTCATGGGGTATATGACAACGGTAGTAAATAGGCCACGTGGAGTTGTTCTTATTATGTCTGTATTATGCACATGCAAATACATGTATATTTGATAATTGTTAAAATGTTATGGAATCGAAATGTGTTAATTTCCCTAAAATTATTTCATTTGTGTACATATATCTGATAATTTGTAAGGTAACGATAGATTAAGAATATCGAAACATATCTAATGTCAATTTGTCACATTTGTAGAGGTATTAAATAAAAACGGAAAAGTATTGTTTTCAAACTTTTTAGGGTGATAATATGTTACAGACTAAGTTACAGAGTTATATTGTAATGTGATGAATAACCCATTTTATTATCCTTGACATACGAAACTTACTTTTTATTAATACATAATTCAATCAAATAAAGATTATAGTTTATAAGCAGTTCAAAGCAACCTAACAAGGTAGATTTTACCTAGAGGTATACCAGAGCTTAAGTGAACACTTAATCTGTCAAACCTGTCAAGCCAACGTAATGCTCAGCTGAAAATCTAATAATGACACCCTAAGGTATTTCTTTATGTTTGTAAGGCCCAATAATTTTATATTGGAAAAAATTAAAAGACACGTAATAGGAAATGGTAGGAACGACTTCTGCATGTCCACAATAAAACATTTTAAATTAGTATTTAGTATACACAGCTTTGTTTATAAAGTCACCGTAATAAGACGAAATTATTTGCAAAACTGTTTTTACTAAACAAAGACAGTTCATTCCTTACGGTGAATGATTTCACTGTTGCATATCGACCCTTTAGACACCTGAAACTATCAAACTTTTCCCGTGTTTTGAAAGTGCTTGGTTTGCAAACAGTTTTTTATTTATAATTTATAGCACTGACAGATTGAAAGGTCAAAATACCCCTTCTGGAGGATAAAATAACAAAGGTACGCATCATGTCTTACACATCTGTCCACGAAAAGACTGTCAATGTCAAATGGTGGTAAAAGTCACATGTTAGTTTTTAAATTGAATTTAATGTAAGTCGCTTTTGAAAATAAAAACGCTCTGCACAAATGTCATCGGAAGTCACTAGAAACTTTACAGTGCAGACAGCCCCTCATGTTGCTCCAGACATAACAATATTGTGGCGCCTTGCAGCCACCCGAAGCACCAGTCGGCACACAACAGAACACCTCTAGTACTTAGACTGCCAGGCAGTTAACTTAAGGCTGCTATGAGTTGTTTCCTTTGAAACCGATGAACCAAATCTCTTCTTATAGTCAGAGAAAGGCATTTTTGATACATAACATTATTCTTAAACTATTTTGTGGCTATATGATATGTATTTCCCCCATGCTAGGCCACTGGGCAGCTCGACTGCTAACTTTAAGGCTGCTTCTTACGCAAAAATATATCGATAGGAAAACAAAACATGACTACAAGCTGAGTTAACAGGGTCAATCATAGGTCAAACTCAGATTTATGAATCAAATCGATCTATTAATAAAATTATGGACCATTTAGGAAAAATTAAATCCAGAGCCACCGCCGGGCGGGGCAACTCTCGACTTTTTACTTTTTCTGAAAGCAAACAAAGAAATGTTTTCACAAATCTTAACGTTTCCTTTTTATAATTTTGTTTGTATGAATCCTGTCCATATATTTATCCGCATGTGTATTACAGAAGAAAATATGTATGTATGTATGTATGTATGTATGTATGTACGTACGTACGTACGTACGTACGTACATACACACCAATAAATATATTTGGTCATGTAATGCACTAATCAAAGTCAAGGTCATTTATAAGTGAAGGTCATGGTCTGTCTGATTATTTAAAAGGGCTATCCTTGAAGATTATTATTTTCAAGTTTGAAGACAATCGATCCAAAATGACAAAGTAACAGCCAATAACAGCAAGAACAAGCAAAATTTGGACATTTGACCTTGAAGTGTTCAAGGTCATTTATGAATAAAGGTCAAGGGTAGTGTAGTCTTTTGAAAGGTCTTGTCCCAAGAATTGGTGTGGCCAAGTATGAAGACAATACACCAAGAACTCAAAAAGTTATGATCTAGGTACCAGTTTGCAGACCGCAGCGCCGCCAGGACTATAACAATACCTCTACTGTTTTTGTTTTTTTTAAAGTCAAGGTTAAAATGATCAAGACGATCAATGTCATTTAGGTGTCAAGGTCATATTTAATACTCTATTTAAAGGCGGTCTTAAAGAAAAACTATAAAGGCAAATGAAGGTATACATAATTATAAATTAAGTTTATATTATTATTTATTATACATGTATTTGAAGGTTGATACCAATTAAAATTTTCTTCTACCACACATCATCAAGAAAATATGTGCTAATGATTGATATAGAATATAGGGTTTAAAGGACCTGCCTCGTCATTTTGATTTCATCTCGATAAGAAAGTTGAATCTATTTTAAATCAATTTTGAAGAACCGTGTCATTTATGGATCATAATTAAAGATTTTGTGCAAAAGGATGTCCAAATATAAAAGCAATAGGGTCCGTAATAAACAAGAGCTGTCGGTAGGACAGCAACGCTCGACTATTCTTAATGCTTGATAGTAAAAGAGCCTGTAAAAATGTAAAATTTTATGTGTTAATAACGAATGGAAATTTTCTTTAATACACGTTACAGTTATAGGCCTTGGAGAGAGTCCTATTATGCTCTCAAAGAAGAGTATACAATTTCAACTTGTTTCAATAGAATATAAAAATATTTGAGGTGGTATGCAAACCTTAATAAATGTAAATTCTAAGTTAAAAAGGAGCATAACTCTGTACAAATGCTTGATACACTTACCTCCTTCTGTCTACATGTTGGGGTCATGATGTTGAACAAATGTGTAAAGGTACAAAGCCATATGTCAATGGACATCGAAAATATTTGAGTTATTACAAAAACTTTAACATATGTGGTTACACCGACGTCAACATTCGGGTGACTACAATAGCTCTTAAACTTATCGAATAGTCGAGCTAAAAATTTGACCAACAATAAAGTTTTGGACTGCAATGGAAATCACAACCTGACTGTTATGATAAAAGGTTAGAAAAAAGTAGAACTGAAAATTGGTTCTGTATGATAAAATAGTCATAAAAATTAACTTAGTAGAATTTGCAGTCACAATTCAATGTCAAATCTTAAAGCCTCTTAACTATTTTATTGTCCATGCTAGGGCTTTAATGTTATTACATAAGACACACCTGGATACTAGCTTTTTATGAATTCCAAATTGGTTTCAAAACAATGCTGACAATGCAACTTCTAAACAATACAACAAAGAATGATTTCTAGTTTTATTTCAAATAAAATATAACAGATCGCATAAAAAGTTTATGACTTTTAATTTTTTTGCAGAACAAACCAACATACATCAAAGAAAATTGTAACATCAAAGGCACTAATTAAAGAAAACTTATTTTCTATTCCTAATATATATAAGGTTAAAAATCAACAAAATATTTATATATACGAAACCTTTGTTTCTGTTGCATTACAATAAAAATATAAAAGGAAAATACAGATCACACTAAAAATTAAGACTTTGTAGTAACTTTAACATTTTGGCAGAACTTGCCATCATACATCAAAGAAAAATGTAACTTCAAAATTACTAATTGGATAAGACTGACTTTCTATTCTTCACCTAGTTAAGACTTAGACTCAAAAAAATGTTTATATACTTTGTTTCTGTTTTATCACAATAAAGGTATAATAATAAAATACAGAGCATGCTAAAAATTAAGACTTTGTAGCTTCTTAAAAATTTAGGCATTACCTGCCATCATACATCAAAGAAAAATGTAACTTCAAAATTACTAATTGGATAAGACTGACTTACCATTCTTTACCTAGTTAAGACTAAGACTCATCAAAATGTTTATATACTTTGTTTCTGTTTTTTCACAATAAAGGTATAATATAAAATACAGAGCATGCTAAAAATTAAGACTTTGTAGCTTCTTAAAAATTTAGGCATTACCTGCCATCATACATCAAAGAAAAATGTAACTTCAAAATTACTAATTGGATAAGACTGACTTTCTATTCTTTACCTAGTTAAGACTAAGACTCATCAAAATGTTTATATACTTTGTTTCTGTTTTTTCACAATAAATATATGAGAATAAAATACAGAGCATACTAAAAATTAAGACTTTGTAGCTACTTTAAAATTTTGGCATTACCTGCCATCATACATCAAAGAAAATGTAACTTCAAAATTACTAATTGGATAAGACTGACTTACCATTCTTCACCTAGTTAAGACT